AACACCACCGGGCTCTCCCTCCCTCCCTATTTTCCCGGACATGTCCAGCTTTTGGGATTTCCTCCCGGATGGGGATTTGAGGCCCAAAAAGCCAGACATGTCCAGGAAAATCCGGACGTATGGTAACCCTAACTAAACTATCCCTCCTCCCAAAGTTTCATTTTCTGTTACAGTCTCTGTTTTAGGGCTGCTATCTTAGTGTTTTTATACTGCTGCCCATCACTGTAGGCTGAGTGCTGTGGGGTTTTCACATGCGCTCCTTCACATTGTGAGTCTTTGTGGCATGTTTTCAGGGCCTCCATCACCCATCTGGGGCTTACTGGTTTCAGAGCTTTGTTACTGGCTAGTAGAGGGGGAAAGTGGCATCTGGAGCCTGGGCAGCCAGGCAGCTATTTTTAGCCCATAACACAAACATGAGTCAGTTGACCTGGGCTCTGAGACTTGCTGCGGCTGAAGGGGTTGTTTTGTTTGGGGTTTTTTTGCAGTGTAGATATTCTCTTGGTCTTCTGACTTGGATGTTAGCTCCTACTGAACAGATCAACTAGTTCACGAGCCATATTAATGAGCCGATGCTTGAACACTGCTATATAGGTGCCGGGTATTATTTTTGATTATATTCCTTGCTCAGAACAGGGCTGCCTTGGGATTTGCTTCATTTCAGCTCTGAGGAAGCACTCACTGCTAAGGCAAAGCCACTGTGGACTCACGTTTGGAGCCATAGCTCTCTCCATAGGTACCTGTTGGGGTGGAGGTCGTGGTGCAGCCCCTGAACAGACTGCCATGTTTAGAAGTCGCTGCAATTAATCCAAGGCCGTGGATTGTTTTTAAAGACCTCCTGTCACAGGGGAGTTCCCTATTGGGTGCTGGGAAGTGGGCGGGCGCAAGCCGGCCCACAGCTAAAAGCCCCTCCCCGTCACAGGGTAGCTGGTCTCTGTGGCTAGACTGAGCCCAGTGCCCCAGACTGGAGTCTAATCCAGCTAATTAAAGATGGCTGTGCTACACCTGGGTCTATAAAGGGCTGATAGGAGGCAGCTGAGAGGAGGGCTGAGCTAAACTAAGTCTGGGTAGCAAAGGCTAAGTCCCGTGGGGAGGGCTTAGAGAAACCACCCTGGGACTGTTGCCCCCAGGAGGGAGCAGAGCTGGCTGAGGTGAGGAACTGCCACAGCTGGAGTGTCAGAGACCCCTGGGAGGGGTGGCCCTGAAGCCTGGGGACCCGGTCCTGGCTTAGGGCTGCTCTCTGGTTGGTTGTTTAACCTTTGCTGTAAAGGACTAAACCTCGGTGACTGGGTGTGGCAGCACATGTTTGGAGCTGGGTTGCAGTGGTGGCCAATCTCAGTGACACCTCCCTTCAGCTCCCAGAGTGGGCTGGAAGGAACTTGCAGCCAAATGGCTTCCTGTGGTGAAGCGTGGAATGGGTCACGTGCTGGATCCAGGGCTTCCTCTCTGCAGCTGACCTGGGGATCTGCTTGCAGGGAGAGCTTCAGAGCTGCCCCACCAGAACAGTGCAGGGGTCTAGCTAATCCCATTTCCCGGATCTGAGAGCGGCCAATACCAGCACCTCTTGGCAAGTCCCCCCCACCCCAGGCATGGTGCTCTAGTTTGGCTCAACAGGAGACCTGGCCCCCAAACCTGGCTGGAAGAGCCAGGAGGAGGGTGGGGGTTAGCATCCCAGGCGCAGAAACATTCTGGAGGGGGGAGTGATCTATTTTTTTTCTGCCTCCACAATATGCCCTTTGTACCTGGAGAGTGTGTGAGGTGGGGCAGCCTGGGCCCCCTTCTCTTCTGGCCTGACTCCCTCAACACCTGGAAGTGGGGGCCTGGAGCTGGGCTGGGCAGGGAAGGGGCAGCCCGGCAGATCTGTGTCATTTTGGGCTGGTGGGAGGGCTGTCTCCCCTGGGGGAGAGGGTGGGTCTGCTGCCAGATATACCTACAACAGCAGCGGGAACTGGGCAGGCAGCTGCTTTGAATGCCTGGGGCTGGGGAGCGGTGATATCTTGCAGCCACAGTTTCCCTGACTGGTCCACTTCCTCGGTCTGCTGTGCATCTCTGGGGCCAAGGCGAATGCCTGCCCCAGCGGTTGCCCCCAGCCCTGCCACTGCAGCAGCCCCTTCTACACCCTGGGCTCCTTGGCGCACACTCCCTGCTCCCCATTCAAGGTGAGCATCTGCTGTCTCTGCCCCACAGGCATATGTATATTAAACCGGCAAAGCAGCCTCTGGCCGCTACCAAACACTAAGCTGCCTTGATATTACTTAGGATGACCAGATGTCCCAATTTTATAGGGACAGTCCTGATATTGGGGCTTTTGTCTTATATAGGCGCCTACTTACTCCCCCCCCCCCCCGGTCCTGATTTTTCACACTTGCAGTCTGGTCACCCTAATGCTACTGAACCCTGTGAGCAGCTGGTCGAGCTCCCCTAACATTAATTACATGAAATTTAACTACAGAATAGCTATCAGCCCTTTGCAGTACTAGCCAGAGGGGCAACCGGCAAACAGGCCCCGCTGGATCTCCTGGTCCCCTCAGGGTGGGGTGGAGGTTTTTGAACTAATTATTTCATGTGTTAATTGACTGTTTGTGCTTGGGAGGCGTGCGGTAAGGAACGGCACCCAAGACTGAGATTCTCTTTCGTGGGCCGGCTCCAAAGCCCAGTGAAGTCAAGGGGAATCTTTCCAATTGTCTTCCCTGGGCTGGGTAAAGGCAGGGCAGGTTTCCACAAACAGCAGTCCCTGTCGCTGAGGTAGCCCTGGCCTGGTCTGGCCTGCTTTCCCAAGGAGGAGAAATGGCTCCGTCTCCAGACCTGGGTCAGTCCTAGGCCGCTCCTCAGCAGTGGAGATCCCCTGTCCTGGACGACTGCAGGAGTCGTGCTGTTGGGATGTGGTGAGGATGGAGTGGGGAATTTGGGCTGAGCAGGCCTGGGAAATTGCCAGACCCATGGTCCCTGGGAGCCTGGCTCTATCAGAGACCTGAACCAACTGCTTCAGAGGAAGGTGCAAGAAAAGAGAACCCTAGTGCCTGAGTATGGAATAACCTGCCTATCAGAGAAACTGCTTCCTAACCCCGGGCTGTAGGGGTTGGATTATGCCCGGAGACACGGAGATGTATATCTCTTCTAAAGCATTTGCACCCTGCCTATTGTAACTCTGGGTAACAGCGTGTGGCTGCGCCGCAAATATGGCAAGAGCATACAGTAGATCTGGATCCAAATATTGCAGAGGAAGGATGGTCCGGTGGTTAGGGCACTTGCCTGCAACTCAGGAGACCCATCTGGTACCCACAGTTACGTTAGACAGAATACAGCATCCTGCCCATGTGAGATCATTCTCAATCCCCTGGTGCTTTGCATAAGAGTTAGGGTTGTTAACTCCAATGTCCTATCCTCATTCCAACATGCTTCCCTCTGACCCTGCTTCAGTTTCAAGTTATGTGCTCATCTTTGCTGCTTGTCCTATAGGGACAATGTGGGCTGTTAAACAGCTGTTGTGATCTACCCCAGAAGTGGCTGCATTTCAGCAGAGGGTTCAGAGATCCCGAGTCCAAGTCCTGGATTTGCGAGGCTTGCTCCATCCATGTTTGTAAAGTGCTTGGAGATCACCAAATGAACGGTTCCATAGCAAAGCAAAGCTTAGCATTTTTGAAATTCCATTTGCATTAATTGTTGTTTCCCTTGGGCTCTGGAATTAATTCCTTTTTTCTCCCGGACTGTCTCACAGGCTCTGAAAGGCTCCAAGAAGTTGAACCTGTCGGTGCATTCGGTTGGGCGGATCCCTGGGGGCTATGTCACCAATCACATTTACACCTGGGTGGATCCCCAGGGGCGGAGCGCATCCCCACCCATGGGCCTGCCCCAGCACCAGAGCAGCTCCCTGCGGAAGGATGGTGAGAAGAGGAGTCACCTTCAGCTTCTGCAAGAGGGGGATGAGAAAAAGGTGAGCAAGAGGGAGAAATTCAAGCCCTGGGGCCTCATCTCCTCTTGCCATAGAAGTTCAAGCCCCCTCCACTCTGCCATTCCATCTTCCATCATCGGTTCTTACCAGAGCAAGGGCTGGCCCTTTGCTTCTGGTCCTGTGCCATTGCCCTGCACCGTGCATAGTGCAGAATGCTTCCAAAGTGTTTTGCATTCACTTTGCAGTGGTGCAAATAACTACAGAAGTGGGCAGGGCAGTGGAGAAGAGGACCCCCAGCTCTCTGATCCGTTCCCCAAATTCACAACTTTGTTCTCTTGACTCTCCGTGTGATGCCCAGAAAACACCCCTCTGTGATTTTGTGTCTAGATTTTAGCTTCAGCTTCTCGGTCCCTGTAATGGCAGAATCACGTAGAACTGAATGGAAATGAAGCCAGCAAGGCCCTGACAAAATATAACCGGGTTCAATAGAACTGAATAGAAAATGAGGCCCTTCTTATAGGTTTTTAGAATCAAAGGCTGTTTTGAACATCAAAGAGCCAACACCTTTCCTGAACTGAGATGGAAACAAGGCTCTTTCAGATGCAAATAGGACTGTCAGTGGCACTTGCAGCTGGGAAGCTGCTGATCAGACCAGACACTGTTTCTGTGATGTTTCCCAGGCTGACCATTAACTTTGATGTCAATAACAAATCTGATTTGATATGAAAAAATCCACGCTGGCCCCTCTTCTGGTGGTTTGGGGCATGGTTCTTCTGATGGTTGTATAGCAAAAGGACTTATTGCTGCTTTCCCTCCATCTCAGATCATTTTTGTTTTCTTTCACCATTTAATTTTGGGCCAAATGCTGAAACCTTGGAGGGTAGGGGGGCTTCAGTGAGAGTCTTGCCTGCATAAAGGCTGGAAAAAGCCTGAGTTAGAACATCAGGATATTTCTCTCCAAATATAGTGCCTTTCATCTGCTTTTCTTCTCTGTCAAGGGATCTGGGTTTAGGACCCTGTGGAGAGAGGCAGGGTTATTTGGCTGACTCACATGACAGCCAGATATGGGGAGGCTCATTAGCTCCTACCCAGGGTCATGGCTCTTTCAGGGAATTGGGGACAAACATAGAAGGTCTAGGAATAAGCCAAGCAAAGACTTGTAACTTATACTTAACCGTAATTCCCAAGAAGGGGTGAATTTTGGACACCACCTTGTATGCATGCATGTGAGTTGAGAGAGCAGGGGAGGAGGGGAAATTGACTTATTCCAAACGTCCTTTCCTTTCCTCTCTCATACCTTCATATTTTTCCTCTTTCTCTCACTTAATCCTACTTCTTCTTCTCTCACCCTTTTTGCTCCTCCACTTCTCTTCCTCTCTTGTCCATCTCCCAGACATTACTCAAAATGGAAAGCTTAGGAGTCAGGACTTGGTGGGGGAAAAGTGTATCGACCCAGCTTGGCTTTGCCTTAATTTTCTTTATTTTATTTTTTTGACACCAGAAAAAATAATGTATTTAGTGGCTGAGATTTGAAATAATGCTCTGTGCTTCCATAGCTCCTTACAGATAAAGGTCTCAAAGCACTTTACGAGCCAGAAACCTCACGGCTCCCCCTCTGAAGTAGGTATTCTATCCACTTTGCCGATGGGGAAACAGAGGCACAGCGAGATGGAGTGGCTTGCTCAAGGACTCGCAGCAACTGGTCCAACTACTGTTGACTTTAATGGCAGTTGGATCAGGCCCCTAGCAAAGCTGGGAACAGAGACAGGCATCCTGGGTCCCAGTCTTCTGCCCTAGTCACTGGACAGCGCTCCCTCTTGAAACGAGAAATGTTTTAAAGGAAGCCAATGTTGGATGCATTTGTGCAGAACTGCCTGGTCCCAGGGGAGTCAGATGTTTCCTCTCCATCCTTCTGATTCTCTGGAGACGTGTAAGCCGTGTCCCTCTCTAGAGTAGTGGTCTCCAAAGTGGGGTGTGCGCAAGAGGATCCTTCAGGGTGCGTGGCAGGAGGAGCGCCACCGGAGCAGCGCCGCTTCAGCAGTTCGGGCGGGAGTCCGGGCGGCTTTTTTTGCTTGGGGCGGCAAAAATGGTAAAGCCGGCCCTGCGGCGCGGCGGGGGGTGTGCTCAAAAAAATTTCATTGATAGGGGTGCGCGATCAAAAAAGTTGGGAGCCCACTGCTCTAGAGTGTTAGGCCAACTGCGGATGGATGAACCTGCTAGAGCCTGGGCTAAGAAGATCTTAAGCGCATTAAGATCCAGAGGTCCCAGCTTTGATCCCCATTAACACCGACCCACCCAGGGGCATTGGCGTTACCCATGGAAGAAAGCTGGTGAAGCACTGCTATCTTCAGTTTGCTGGGACTGTGGTGCTCAGACACGACAATGATGTTGAGGGACATGTATGTGGCTGGACAGACATACAGATGAGTATCTTTCTATTAGACAGAACTGCCTATCCATCTACTGTATCTATCGATGTCAGTGCCTGAGGGACCCATTCACCAGTGGAAGCATCACTTGTGGAGCAATTCTAAGGCTATGTTTACATTGCAAATAAAACCCATGGAGCTTTGTCTCATAGCCTGGGTCAACTGACGGGGGCTGTAGGGCTAAAAAGAGCAGTGCAGATGTTCCAGACCCTGGGCTGCAGCTGGAGTGAGAACCCAATGGCTGGGGGAGGGTGTCTCTGCGACCAGGCCCCAGCCCAAAGGGGAACATCTACAGGGCTATTTTCAGTCCCACAAGCCTGAGGCAATTGACCCAGGCTCTGAGACTCAGTGCTGGTTAGGCCTTAACGTGCCTCTAACCACTCAGGCTGAGGCTTCTCCTCAATGGCTTTAACAGTTCCTGGCTCCTTGACTGCTCACCCAAGAGGCTGTTAGCGTGGCCTGATGTGAGAAGAGGCTCCTGTGAGCTCACACCTCTCCTGGCGGTCAGGTAGAAAAATCTGTGAAGGGACAAGATGTTTTGCTTTACTGACGAAATATTCCGGCCGGCCCCAAGGGAGAAGGGGGCCATTATTTTCACATAAGAAGAAGAGAAAACCAGCCATCGTGGAGGGAGATTGGTTCGGTCGGGTCCCTCCTCCCCGCTTTGTGTCACCTTCCTGTGGATCCAGGGGGCTGGCAGGGGCTCTTTGAAGCTGGAGCCTGGAAGTGTTTCTCATGCATGTCACTCTCCTCTTGCCTTTCATTTCTTCTTCTTCTTCTTCCTTTTGTATGAACACAAAATGCTCAGAAGGCCAGAGCCCTCCGCGCCTGCTGTCTCTGAGCCTGGCCCGCTGCTGTGCGAGGCTACAGGCTAAAAGTGCCAAAGGAAGGGGGTGCGCTCCTGTTAGCTGGGCTCCCTTTCCCTCAAAGCTCTCCCGATTTTCAGCGCCTGCCTCGCAAGACAACCCTTAATGCTCTTTAGCAGCAATATGCAGAGCATGGTACGTCCGTTACTCTGTCCTGTGAGTGAAGCAGAAAAATCCGCTCCTGAAGCCTCATCAGTATGTGGAGCGGAAGAAAGCCATGGGCCGCTGCACACTTTATTTTATTCAGTGCTGCCCGGCAGGCTGATTACCGAGCGGTGCCTGGCTCTGCCGGGTAATGACTGACGACGGCGCGATAAGGATCAATAGCCACGGCTGGGAGCGAAGAGGAGTGCGACCGTACAAGAGAATTAGGGGAGGCTGTTCTGGAGATATTTGTCCAAGGGTGCACTTAAGGGGTGAATTATCCAAGTTGTTTTGCCCTGGTTTAGCATGCACCACAGAGCCCTCAAAACATGCCCCGGTCCACAGGACCGGATCCCAAAAGCACCCGTAACTCCCAGCTATTTCAACAGGAGCCACTGGATCCTCGGGATCAGGGCCTAACCCAGGCCGTGCCTCTGTTTTTCATACTGCCGTTATGACTGCGGTTATCCTGCTTACAAATGTCAGGGAAATGCACCATGTCCCTTGATAGATCAGTGCTGCCAGGCAGGAGTGACAGAAGCCCAGGGTGGTGTCTGATGTCTAGCCAGCTTTAAAATCCTTGGAAAGGGTGGGCAATCTTCCCCCGCCTCCCCAGCTTCCATTTCTAATTAGCCTGGATGTCTGGGAATAAATACTCAGACGTCTTGAATGAGTGGCATTTGAAAGAGAAGAACAGTTCAGAGATCGGAATTCAGCCCTAGAGCTGGCGACAGATGCGATGCAAAACAGAAGGTTAACTGGAGAGGGAGGGGATGTAGCTAAATATAGCAGTGATGCTCCTGTCGTTTTCTGTTCTTGCAAGGTTAAACTCAAGGTCCAAGCAGGCATCGCACACCTGTCAGGGTAGAAATGTTCCCAGCCAGCGTTCTTCCCTGGCACTGCTGTTCTGTGTGCCGGGCAGCAAGGTGTCTGTAGCATTGTTTAACAAGCTCACTTATCTGTAGATGAAAGCGTTCATTATAAGGAAGGCTTGACATGGAAATGGCTGCTATTGGGAGGAGGGGATGTGGGAGCAGTGTAACCAATCTGGGGAGAGGTAGGAGTGTGTGTGTGTGTGTGTGAGAGAGAGAGAGGAGGGTACAAAAGTATGGAGAAGGATGGTTTTGTGGGTGCGTGTTGCCCACATTTGTGCGAATTATGTTGCAGTCAGACAGGCAAGAAACCGAACTTTAGAGAAGCTGTATGATACGTTGAACATCTGCCCTCAACTTCCCAAAAAGAAAAGATAAGTGATGGTTCCGGACAAAAAACAAAAGGAAGAAAGACCAAGTGGACACATCATTTATGGAGGATGCAGGGGGCAGGCTGCTAGTACATACCTGACAGCAAGAATATTATGAGGGTCTGCTTAATGATGAGAACCCTTCATAGGCTACACTGCCATTGTGTGAACCAGCAATCCTGGCTTTTCATGAGCGGTAGGCGGCAGAGGTCAAGGCTGCATTGCTGAAGATGGCACTCAGAAAAGCAGCAAGTCCAGACAAAGTCCCAGCAGAAACTATCAAAGCCTTGAAAGAGTTTGGTATATGCTGGCTCATGTGAGTCCTGTGCATAGTCTGAAAAGAGAAGAAAATCCCAAGCG